CCGCCAATACGGTGATGTAATAAATTATGTAATTCCGCACTATTTGTACTCTGATTTTATCGATGTATGGATGTGATATTCGACTGGAATTTGGGTAATATGATCTACAACGGTCTTATTACACATCGACGCTGTGGATTTCCCTTCGCGGAAATCGGGTCGTTTCACAGGGGTGGGCCGAAAACGAATGGACTGTTGAATTTAATTGGAATTAACCAATTACGTTTAGCAATTAAATTAAAAGAAATTTCATGGCTAGGATTAATGTTAGGTGAAACTCATGACGTGTTAATAGCCGTTAGGGATGTTTCAAGGAGACTTAGTGGTTGATTAGTGAGTTACTAGTAACGGATAATTGATTTATCAGTTAATATGGTCTTCATGCCATCATCAACGGGGTTGATTAGTGGGTTACTAGTAAAGGACAATTTATTTGTCAGTTACTGGTAACTTACATTGTGTTCATGATCATTTATCAATCACTACATCTATCTCTTCGTGTCCCTGGGCAACATAAGTCGACGCTCTCCTCTTGCTCGCGTGCGCATGACACACAACCGCGTCTCACCAATTCGCTGTCGAGTTGCATCCGAGTACTCCTCGTCCCATCCTCTGCGAGCACGGAGGTTTGGGAGAGCAGGCCTCTGGAAACGGCGTTTGCATCGGGGCACCTGCTCGGGTGTGTGCGGGTGATTAGGTTTTTGGGGAGCGTCTCCGTGACTGCTCACTGTCTTCTTCTTCATCGGAATGTCTTTATCGCCTTCCTGGTGGTGCCCCTTCTTCCTCGGATCGGCTTCGTCAACTTTCCGGTGGACGTTCGAGGGACAGCACTGCGTACATCTTCCTCCACCGACTGTGGTCCGTGACTTCGAGCAACTCACCATGAGTGGGTCTGGAGCCATCGGTGCCTTGAGCATGGGTCCCTCCGCAGGGTACATCTCTATTCTCAAATTGGTTAAGTTCAATCTCCTTTTCGCCATGATCAGTATGTCGTTCATGAATATATTTGCTGCTAATTTGAGTAGTAGTAAAATCACACGCGTGCACATATTTGTCATCACAAATTTGCTATTATATTTCTGGATTAATTTTAACATAAAAATGCCTAAAATTCTAACATGGACCACTACCGGATACATGATATTTGCCGAGTGCCAGGAGCACTCGGCGAAGCCCCAAAAATACTCGGCAAAGGGTTTGCCGAGTGTTACACTCGGCAAACGACACTCGGCAAACCCTTTAACGGCAAATGCTAGTTTGCCGAGTGTTTTTTGTCGGACACTCGGTAAAGACTTTGCCGAGTGCCCAAAATATACTCGGCAAATATTTTTTCCAAAAAAAGCCACCACCGGCCAAAAAAATAAAAAAAGCCACCACCGGCCAAAAAAAAATAAAAAAGCCACCACCGTCCGGTCTCCTCCGTCCTAAAAAGAGGGCTGATCTCCTCGGCGGCGCCCTTCCCTGAGCCAGTGGCTCGACTTCACGCCTCTGTCTCGCCTCCTCTCCCGGCTCACTTAACGGCCGCCACGAGCCACCACCACCATGCCACCGCCGCCCACCACCACCACGCCACCACCCGCCACGCCCGAGCTGCCACCACCGGCTGCCGTCTCCTTAGAGGTGGATGTGGAGGTGTTGGTGAAGAGCGGCACCGGAGGTGGAGGTGAAGGGGGCCGGCCAGAGGTGGGGTTGGAGGTGGAGAGGACAGGGCAGAGGTGGGGGTGGAGGAGGCCGGCTGGAGGAGGGGGGACGACCGGAGAGATGCGGTCTCGGGTGAGAGAGATGCGAGAGAGGGAGACGAGAGAGATGCATTGAGGGAGACGGAGGGAGATATTTCTCCATTCTGCTAGAGATGACATCATGTTGGGCCCACATGTCATTCTTAGTAGAGAAACACAAATGAATTGGCGGTGGAAATAACTCCACGTGGCCTTTGATCCCGCCGTCCAAGAGGTCCACGTCAGTGATCCGGGGCTGATCCAACATGCATGGCACACGAGACGTGGTGGAGGATAGCGCGGACACTACAATGGCGGCGCAGAGAGCGAGGCGGGATGGGCAGTCTGGATTCGATTCCTGCGCTGGGTGGGTTAAAGAAGATATTTTTTTTATTTGGCGAGTGTCCTAGATCTGGGCACTCGGCAAAGTATTTTTTCATTTTTTTCTCATTCTTTTCCATAATTTTTTTTATTTCTTTGCCGAGTGTTCTAGATCTGAGTACTTGGTAAAGTTTTTTTTATTTTTTTTCTTCTCCTTCTTTTCTAGAAAAAATATTTTATTTCTTTGCCGAGTGCTTTTTTTACACTCGGCAAACTTTATCTTTGTGGAGTGTTTTCCTTTTGACACTCGGTAAACCCTATCTTTGCCGAGTGCTTTTTTTTGACACTCGACAAAGAACCTATTCGCCGAATGCCCGAGGAAATACACTCGGCAAACAAAAAAACACTCGGCAAATTTGAGGATTCCGGTAGTGGACGGACACATTCCAGTTCCAGGAGGCTCCCCTTCTCCTCGATTTCGCGGTCACACAGGGTCTGCCGCCCCACAGCGAAGACATGAGCAAAAACTGCAGCCAAGATGTACACCGCATGGTCTGCAAGAGCGACCACAGCGACTGCTGTGTCCCGGCTTCAGGCTACGTGTGCACATGCAGGTTTGGTTTCGACGGCAACCCTTACGTCGACGGTGGTTGCCAAGGTTAGTTTTCAATCTGTTCCCTCCGTCCTAAAAGAACTGATTTTTATGTATATCCTAAGTCAAATTCGATTAAATTTATAAGAATACTATTGTCAATCACACTAACTGAGTATTATTGGATATATCACGAAACATATTTTTATATTATACCCATTTAGTATCCTAAATATCGATGTTTTTTTCTATAAATTTAGTCAAATTCAAAATAGTTTTTTTTTTAAAGAAAAACTCAAAATAGCTTAACTTAGAACATCAGTTATTATTTTGGGACCAAGCAAGTACAGTTCGGTCCATTTGGAAAGGCTAAACGTGGTTGAGGTAAATGCAAACATCTTGAAAAGTGGCTGAGGTAAATGCACGCTAAACGTGACTATAACTAACTGGTCTTTGAGATTTATATTTCAGTAAAAAATACTACTATCTCGCTAACTGCTGGTTTTAAATAATTCTTATGCCATTGTAGTAAATAAAAATGAAATCTATGATCTAAAATCTTTATTTTCAATAAAAACAAAATGAGAGTTAATAAAGTATATATATAATAAGCACAAGAGAGTTTTAGGTCAACTCTTTAGGATAAGAAAAATCTGTAGCAACTAATAAGATAAAAAATTGACAATTAAATTCTAAATTCGTGGTGCCATCATAAGATAAAAAGCAAGAGAAAAGACATTTTAAGCTAAAGTTTCAACTAATTGCATATTCAAGATAAACAGAGGTGCCTTATGAAGGAAAAAAAATATGCATATAGATAATAAAATATATAGATTAGTAGTCAATAAGATCGATAGGCTACTGACTACAAATGGCAACAAAGAGACGTGCATATTAATATTATTAGTAATTTTTATTAGTGAATAGGTATATTATATAGTTATATGTGTGGTCACCAAGACGATTTTGTATTTGAAGATTTACTCAACAATTGTTATTATCAAATTGAACTTTGTAAAGCTGTTTGACGCGTCTTGAAATTGGACTTTATACCATCCCTAGACCGGACGTTCGTGGGCATGGCCTGTGAATCTAGCGGGTCAGATACGGTATAGAGGGGCAGCAGGGCTTTGTGGTAAAAAAAAAAGACTGACCAAAGAATTCCTTTCTCATTTTTATATTATATATTAGATATAGCTTAATATGTATTTCTGCCATGTGTGAATTGGTGGGTTAACTGGCTCCAGAGGTCGACGAGTGCAAGTTCCTGGGTGAAGATAGTGTGTGCTTCGGTGTATGCACCAACACGATTGGGTCACTTACGGTGATCCCGGCGTCGAAGGTGGATGCGTCAATTATAACTTCAACAAAGGTCTGTATCATCAGTACAAAAGCACCCCGGAGTCGCACTGGTTGCACACAGACACAGCGGTATCTTACATTGATTTATTTGCAGCAGATGTGGCTCTGGATCGGCTACCGATGCCGACAGGGCAGCTCGGCTGCAACACCACCTGCGGCAACGTGAGCGTACCGTACCCCTTCAGCTTTGGGCATCCCGACTGCTACTGGCCGGGGCTTGTTAGCAACCCAACTCGATTCAAGTAACAAGCAAGATACAAGATCTTAGGGGAAGGGAGATCGGAGCAGAGAAGAAAGGAAGAACAGGATACAGAGAGAAAGACTTGGAAACGAAGATGAACAGTAAAACTAGGAAGTAGTATTACGATGTTTGATAATTCGTTTGATGGTCTCCCTGCTGCTGCTTCTGCGCTCTTGTAGGAGACACCGGCAGTCCAGGCGAATACTTGACTAGGCGAAGGCCCAGGGCCCATATGACGGCCCACCATGAGTGATCCCTGACATTCCCCCTCTTCTTGAGTTTTGGCTTTGCCCCCAAGCCGATGGATAATTTTCAGTACCACCTGGATCCCATGGCACTTGCAAGTCCTTAATGCTGAAAAGCAATCCGCCATCACACCAGACCTGGGAATCTGACATCCCTTTCTGTGCCTTCCAGTCCACTGGATTGATGCTTGCTGTATGTTCTTGTATGAGTTGGACAAAGAGACAATGGAGCCAGCTTGAACGTCTGCAGCCTTGCTGGAAATTGAATTGGTTCTGAGTAAAGAAGCAGCTACCAAATACTTGCCAAATACAAGGACTGAGATTAAGGTGCAGTCCCAGCAGGTGTTCATAGAATTATATGTGACTGTGAAAGCAGTGTGCCCAGCCATGAGTGAAGCACGAGATGACTGAAGCCAGTGAACTGTCTCTCTGCAATTTTGTTCATCCTGCGCTGCACTTTGAAGTAACTTAAGCCAACGTTTCCAACACAATAGCATAACTTCAGACTGTTGCCAGAATTGCTAATGTGCATGTCTGCTCATCTCTATAGAAAGTTGTGTATTTCTCACAAACTGAAACAAGTTGTCAGGTAGTATTCCAATAAGTAAATCAAGTTCCTTGCGTTGGGGTCCAAGAACGTGCATGGCATCATGGTACCTAACTGTCAGAGCTCGCTCCACTTGATCAGGAAGTGCATATAGAGGTGGAAGAACAGGCTCCCGAGCAAAATCCTTTCCTGATGCTTGGCACATCAGTGCAAGTGCATGACAGAACCCACGAACAACACTGTCTTGCACGTTACGAGTGAAATTGACACATATCCAACTTCTGACTTTACCACCATCTACCATAGAAGCCCATTCGGACAGTAGAGAATTAGAAGCCCATTCGGACAGAAAGTGTAATAGCAGGACTGGTTCAACCAAACCACCATAGAAGCAACAGGAACTGATATAATGGAGCACCGGAAGTTCAGACTGAGCAGTAATTGATGGAGGCACAAAATCACCTCTTGCAATCCATGTCGTGAGTAGCTCAAAATCAACCAACAGCTCAAATTCATACAATGGTGCACTCAGCAGCATATATAGTTGTTGCATTGATAGACCAAAAGTGCATCTCAGTAAAAGCATATCCTGGAACAATCAGTGAGGTAAAGAAAGATTGCTTCGTTTGACAGGCATAGCACCAAGTATGTAACTGAAAGGACTCAAGAAAACCAGCCCATAAACCAACACTGCAGTTGTGCTGTACCTGAAACCACAGAACCACTGAATTGCATGCCCAAACAGGTGACAGCCAAGAGAGTTGCAATAAAAGATGACATAGCGTCAACTGAGGAAGCCCTGGCCAACAAAATAATTAACCAAACCCGTGAAGTACCAATGACAGGGAGGCGTTCAACTGCACAGACGCTGCATAAGTAGAGGAGGATGGCCAAGGAAGTGACCGGAGTTGAGTGCTATCACTGAGTAGCGCTTGATGCACTGGATTCTGAATAGGCAGTCCAACCACATCAATATCATCTAACTGGCCAGACATGATCATGTAGTTCCCGCATGCTATATACACAGAAGGCACACACCTGATTAGTTGCCGAAGTGAAGAGAACCATGGGGGTTTCCAGAGTCGACCAGAGTGACACAGGACTAAAGACCTCAACCGAGTTGAATGACGGCCACGGTAGAGGATGCAACCCATCATCACAGTTCACCAACCAGAGTTCTGTAGGTGGTGGCCATGGTGTGTGCTGCCTGTATAGCACCGCATCCCAGCTGCAACTGAATGGAGGCGAGAAACAGCTCTGTATGAGGATGAGGCAATTCATCGAACACCTAATGGACAAGGTGCTGGGAACCTCGTCCTCCTCCTCGGGCACCACCAACTGCAGGAGAGAGGAAGCGGTGAAGACGGGGACGAGCACTGTGTAGGTGGCGCAGGCTTCGCGGCACGCGGCAGTGGCGTAGGCGAGGATGGCGCTGCCGGCCCCCACGAGCACGGCGCGCGGGTCAGGGCCCGCCACGGCGACGGCGGAGAGCGAGGGCGCGGGCGTGACGGAGGTGGCGGCCGAAGGCGCAGACGCGGGCATAATGCAGGTGAGGTCGGACGGGTCGACGTCCTCCTCGCTGATGGGACCCGAGAGCTTGTGCCGCGTGCTGCTGTAGTCCTCGTCCACCTCCACCTCCACCTCCTCCATCCATGGTTTCCAATATCGCCCCAAATCTCCTGATATTTTCGATATATCCTATTTATCCGCAGGTGCTGATAAAAAATATCTATCTTTTTTCGTACAAATTTTGTTTAAATTTATTTACATTTACTTAAATTCAAATTAAATTTTATTTGAATTTGATCCGATATTTCTGTTATATCCTGTTTATCCTCTTTATCTGTGACCCAGATAAATTTTAATTTTCGAAAATAAAAACCTTGCCTCCATCTCCTTGTCGGGGAAGGGGATGTACTAGGTGTCGACGGAGCCGCAATGGATAAGCTGTTAGATTGATCTTCACCGACCCAATGGCTTTTGGATCCACGTCCTGATCGAGGGCGCCCAACCGCTCCATGGTTGGTGGGCCCCATCGTACAGCGCTATAAAAAGAGAGGTGGAGGCCAGAGTACAAGGCACGAGGTTCACCTGAGCCGCTAGACACCCTACCTACATTCTAACCCTAGCTGATCTAGAGAGGGGGAGCTGCCAGCGACGGGAAGACCGCCACCGCCCACCGCCGCCACCGCGACAGCGCCTTCACCACCGGGCCTCACCGAGCCACCGACAAGCAACCCCATGCCCAGCTCGTCTTTTACGAAGGATTGCCAAGTAGAAAGAAATAGATGAGTTCATAAATGAGGTAGTAATCCTCTCACAGATCAACCATAAGAATGCGGTCAAACTCTTTGGATGTTGCCTAGAGGCTGTGGTGCCATTGCTGGTGTATGAGTTTATTCCCAATGGGGCCATTTATCACCATCTTCATAATGATGGACAAGAAAGGTCACTATCATGGAGCAATAGGTTGAGGATCGCAACTAAAATAGCTACTTCTCTTGCCTACCTTCACTCGTTAGTTTCAATTCCAATAATCCATAGAGACATCAAATCTAGTAACATACTTCTTGATGATACAATGACATCAAAGATATATGACTTTGGAGCTTCGAGGTATATTCCAATAGACAACACAGGGTTGACAACAAGGATACATGGAACATTCGGATACTTGGATCCAGAGTGCTTTCAAACCGGTTGTCTTACTGAGAAAAGTGATGTTTATAGCTTTGGTGTAATTCTCGTGGAGCTACTCACCAAGAAGAAACCAACTTGTTCACATTTGTCCAATGAATATGGTGGCCTTGTTCCACATTTCCTCAATCTACTTGCCTCTAGAAACCTTGTCCAGATAATGGATCCACAAGTTCTAGAGGAAGGAGGCACAGAAGTGCAACAAATTGCTATGCTTGCAGCATCTTGTGTAAACATAAGAGGTGAAGAAAGACCAACGATGCGGCAAGTTGAACTTACACTAGGAGGACATCAACAAGGTTCCAAACAAAAGTACAAGAAAGATGATATGGTAACTGAGGAATTTGAGAATGGTAGCATTGGGGGAAACTATCCATCATGGACTAGTGATGGACAGAGATTTGAGAAATCAAGTAGAAGATACAGTTTTGAGCAAGAGATGATGATGTCGGCGAGATATCCTAGATAGCATAGCTCTGTGTCGTGTTGCAATAGCACAAGGGATTAGTTAACTTCTCCTACCAATGTTTTGTACCATTGCCTTTGTTTTGTTGACGAATTTGCTATATCATCGGTTATAAAGATAACTATATACCGGATCAAACCAGACTTGCTAGATTTATTTTCTTAATTTATCTTACACCATTGATATTTTTTCTTAAAAAAGAATCCAGAAATTATGCAATGAACGTCAAGGTTATTAGTAGATTGAACTGCAACATCGCTGGGACAACATAAGTAATGCGGGACAAAGAATATTGTTGTTTATTACGATCAAAGTTGAGGTGGTGGTAGTGCTCCTATTCACTCCGGGAAAACAGGGGCACCGTGGACGTAGTTGGTGTTGTGAAAAGATTTTTTTCCCACAATGATTCGATCTTTTAGATCATTGGTATGTATAATAAAATAAGGTTTCATGCATGGTAAATATCAACTACAAAACACTTATGCAATCTTTGCTATGCACATTCCACAACATAGCAACTTATTTCTCTTATTGCCGGATAGAATACAAGTGCCATCCATCTATACTTTTTTGAATTTAATCAATGTGCCCTCTCAATCTAAAGAACCGCCCTTGATTACAAGGTTCAAATTGTGTTAAAATCTATCAAATACCTAATCAGTAACTAGTTTTGTGAATAATCAATCAATATGATCTCAAGAGGATATGAACTTGACACCAAAGCTCATATGGCAATCTTCGCCTGCACAAAATGAAAATTCATTTCAATATGTTTGGTGCGGGGATGGAATAATGGATCCATTGTTAGGCCTTGAAGTAATAATAATAAAAAAGAATGAAAACAACAAACAGGCCTTGAATTTTAATGACCTTTTCACTGACAAACAAATGCTCTTAACACTAAGTTATTAATGCACTTTTGATTAAAAGCAAAACTCATATTATTATAACCGTGAAATTAGATCTTTAGTAGTTTGTTATCCAGTCTGATATAAATAAATGCTTCTCATGCATGTTGTATGTATGCAGCAGTGCAATTACCAACAATGACATGATGTGAAAAATTAAGAGAGGTCTCATATCATAATCATCATGGGACATATCACCTCTTGACATACTGGTAACTAACTCCACGCTGACTTGAATTAAACTTGATATTTAACTGTACCAATGAATGTATGAACAAATGTTTTTGTCCTTAGCAACAGACGAAAACTTGTATCAAGGCCGTATTTTAATTTGATACACTGTTAATTGGACATTGTCGTATTATAGCTAAAGGGAAAAACATAAATAGTTACATAGCATTCCTCGTGTCCGTTTTCCAAAAATTTAAGTGCAAAACACATCTACCATATGGGGTTTCCATGAAAAATAGATGTTTTGACTTCACGTTACTATTTATTACCCCTCCATTCCAAATTATAAGTCGTTTTAGTTTCGTTAGGTACAAAACTTTTGCTCTGTACCTAGACGTAGCATAGTATCTAGATGCATAACAAAAAAAAATCTAGCTAGAATAATTTAGAATGGAGGGGAGTGCCTCTTTTGTAATGTTTTTCACTCTCTTTTGTTAAGTTACAGATATTGTATCGCAATATATGAATTTGTATTTACAATTTATCTTTCTTCTTTTAGAATGACTATGTTCCAAGCAAAACTAAGGTAAGAAAACTCCACTTTCATAACTTGTTAGTTTGTTGTTGTATAGCATTATGTACTGTTCTAAACTGATACTGTTTTGTGTAAATCGGACAAAAACTATTAATTCAAACCAGTTAGCATATTAACATTTTTCCTACTAAAAGCAATAAAAATTATTATGTGTCATACTATATTATATTATTGTATCAGAAAAGAAAATCTATTGAATACAGATCATCACTTAGCCTAGAATTCATTATTTTTTGCTTGACAACAGGGATAGATCTATTGGTGGTAGGGGTGAGGTGGGGGGTGGGGGGGGGGGCTCGAGCCCCCCCTTCAGACGACGAACCCTTGGAGCCCCCCATGAAGTTTGTAGTATTTTTGAAGGGTAGGAACGGCTGGAATCACGATCTGAAGGTTGAAGGAGACAATAATCGCGATCTGATGCTACAATGACATCAAAGATATCCGACTTTGGAGTTTCAAGGTACATTCCAATAGACAACAAAGGGTTGAGAACAAGGATATAGGGAACATTCGGATACTTGGATCCAGAGTGCTTTAACACCGGTCGTCTTACCGAGAAAAGTGATGTTTATAGCTTTGGTGTAATTTTCGTCGAGCTACTCACTAGGAAGAAACCAACTTGTTCACATTTGTCCAATGAATATTGTGGCCTTGTTCCACATTTCCTCGATCTACTTGCCTCTAGAAACCTTGTCCATATATTGGATTATCCACAAGTTCTAAAGGAAGGAGGCACAGAAGTACAACAAGTTGTTATGCTTGCAGCATCCTATAAAAACATAAGAGGTGAACAAAGACCAACAATGCGGCAGGTTGAAGTTACACTAGAAGGACTTCAACGAGGTTCCAACAAAAAGTACAAGAAAGATGATACGGTAACTGAGGAATTTGAGAATGGTAGCATTGGGGGGAACTATCCATCATGGACTAGTGAAGGGTAGAGATTTGAGGAATCTAGTAGCAGATACAGTTTGGAGGAAGAGATGATGATGTCGGCGAGGTATCCTAGATAGCATAGGTATGTGTCGTGTTCATTAACACAAGGGATTAGTTAACTTCTACTACCAGTATTTTTATGCATGATGATTCAACTGTATCTCTACTTGTATTATTGCCTTTGTTTTTTTCACATGATTCTGCTGTATAGTCAGTTATTATAAAGATAACCATATACCTGATCAGGTCAAAGTTGATGGATTTCTTATCTTAATTTATCGTACAACAATGACACTTTTCTCTATAAAAGAATGCTAAAATTATGCAATGGGTACACTTTTGCTAAACAAATCTAGAGGCGTTCATGCGCGTAGCAGGTGAGAAAAGATATCTTTCATCCGAACACGGTGGGTCCACGGCCGGGAACCCACGCGCAGCACCTCAGATCCTCCCAGTGCAGTGCACACTGGTCGATCGTCAGCAGCAACTCGATTGCGGAGCAGCTCATCAGGTGTGCCTGCAGGCCAGGAAACAGAAAATACAGAATACGTCGCTAATTAAGTAGGATTATAGAAGTATTAGACACACCTCAGTAAGCAGCATGCCCAGTGGAGTACAGGCCCGGAGCCCGGTGGCTCTACGGTGGGAACCACAGAGGCAGAACACTGCACCAGTGACCGTGTTCGTCGCGGAGCACGGGTGGGTCGCCAAGGAACGCCGGTGGTCGGGTTGCAGGAGGCTCCGCTTCTGCTCGATTTCACGGTCAAGCACCGGTGGTCGAGTTGCAGCGGCGCAGCCAGTCTCCGGCAGGCTCCGCCCCCAGCCGGCTAACCTCCTGCCTCCGTAGCCCGGCGCCTCGACTGGCGGCCACCCAGTC